TTTACCATAGCACCACTTTTTTGTCCGTACAAAGGCGATTTTACGGATATTTTACGAGTCTAGGGGGCTTTACGGGCCTTAAACGTCAATGCAACGGGGACCGTTTTGTGGAAAGTTTCTCGGCTGGTGGTGGGGCACCTGTGTGCTGATTTTGAACGAAATCGGGGGGGACCCCCCATTGACCCAAAATTTTGATTTTCCCGTACAAACTTTCCTATGGGGGAAAAAGTGAAATTTTCCTGCAAGACTGTGTCTGGGTAAACGAGAACTTTCGATTGATACCCATTTTTACTATAGCACCACTTTTTTGTCCGTACAAAGGTGATTTTACGGATATTTTACGAGTCTAGGGGGCTTTACGGGCCTTAAACGTCAATGCAACGGGGACCGTTTTGGGGAAAGTTTCTCGGCTGGTGGTGGGGCACCTGTGTGCCGATTTTGAACGAAATCGGGGGGGACCCCCCATTGACCCAAAATTTTGATTTTCCCGTACAAACTTTCCTATGGGGAAAAAGTGAAATGTTCCTGCAGGACTGTGTCTGGGTAAACGAGAGCTTTCGATTGATACCCATTTTTACCATAGCACCACTTTTTTGTCCGTACAAAGGCGATTTTACGGATATTTTACGAGTCTAGGGGGCTTTACGGGCCTTAAACGTCAATGCAACGGGGACCGTTTTGGGGAAAGTTTCTCGGCTGGTGGTGGGGCACCTGTGTGCTGATTTTGAACGAAATCGGGGGGGACCCCCCATTGACCCAAAATTTTGATTTTCCCGTACAAACTTTCCTATGGGGGAAAAAGTGAAATTTTCCTGCAGGACTGTGTCTGGGTAAACGAGAACTTTCGATTGATACCCATTTTTACTATAGCACCACTTTTTTGTCCGTACAAAGGTGATTTTACGGATATTTTACGAGTCTAGGGGGCTTTACGGGCCTTAAACGTCAATGCAACGGGGACCGTTTTGGGGAAAGTTTCTCGGCTGGTGGTGGGGCACCTGTGTGCCGATTTTGAACGAAATCGGGGGGGACCCCCCATTGACCCAAAATTTTTATTTTCCCGTACAAACTTTCCTATGGGGAAAAAGTGAAATTTTCCTGCAGGACTGTGTCTGGGTAAACGAGAGCTTTCGATTGATACCCATTTTTACCATAGCACCACTTTTTTGTCCGTACAAAGGCGATTTTACGGATATTTTACGAGTCTAGGGGGCTTTACGGGCCTTAAACGTCAATGCAACGGGGACCGTTTTGGGGAAAGTTTCTCGGCTGGTGGTGGGGCACCTGTGTGCTGATTTTGAACGAAATCGGGGGGGACCCCCCATTGACCCAAAATTTTGATTTTCCCGTACAAACTTTCCTATGGGGGAAAAAGTGAAATTTTCCTGCAGGACTGTGTCTGGGTAAACGAGAACTTTCGATTGATACCCATTTTTAGTATAGCACCACTTTTTTGTCCGTACAAAGGTGATTTTACGGATATTTTACGAGTCTAGGGGGCTTTACGGGCCTTAAACGTCAATGCAACGGGGACCGTTTTGGGGAAAGTTTCTCGGCTGGTGGTGGGGCACCTGTGTGCCGATTTTGAACGAAATCGGGGGGGACCCCCCATTGACCCAAAATTTTTATTTTCCCGTACAAACTTTCCTATGGGGAAAAAGTGAAATTTTCCTGCAGGACTGTGTCTGGGTAAACGAGAGCTTTCGATTGATACCCATTTTTACCATAGCACCACTTTTTTGTCCGTACAAAGGCGATTTTACGGATATTTTACGAGTCTAGGGGGCTTTACGGGCCTTAAACGTCAATGCAACGGGGACCGTTTTGGGGAAAGTTTCTCGGCTGGTGGTGGGGCACCTGTGTGCTGATTTTGAACGAAATCGGGGGGGACCCCCCCATTGACCCAAAATTTTGATTTTCCCGTACAAACTTTCCTATGGGGGAAAAAGTGAAATTTTCCTGCAGGACTGTGTCTGGGTAAACGAGAACTTTCGATTGATACCCATTTTTACTATAGCACCACTTTTTTGTCCGTACAAAGGTGATTTTACGGATATTTTACGAGTCTAGGGGGCTTTACGGGCCTTAAACGTCAATGCAACGGGGACCGTTTTGGGGAAAGTTTCTCGGCTGGTGGTGGGGCACCTGTGTGCCGATTTTGAACGAAATCGGGGGGGACCCCCCATTGACCCAAAATTTTGATTTTCCCGTACAAACTTTCCTATGGGGAAAAAGTGAAATTTTCCTGCAGGACTGTGTCTGGGTAAACGAGAGCTTTCGATTGATACCCATTTTTACCATAGCACCACTTTTTTGTCCGTACAAAGGTGATTTTACGGATATTTTACGAGTCTAGGGGGCTTTACGGGCCTTAAACGTCAATGCAACGGGGACCGTTTTGGGGAAAGTTTCTCGGCTGGTGGTGGGGCACCTGTGTGCCGATTTTGAACGAAATCGGGGGGGACCCCCCATTGACCCAAAATTTTGATTTTCCCGTACAAACTTTCCTATGGGGAAAAAGTGAAATTTTCCTGCAGGACTGTGTCTGGGTAAACGAGAGCTTTCGATTGATACCCATTTTTACCATAGCACCACTTTTTTGCCCGTACAAAGGCGATTTTACGGATATTTTACGAGTCTAGGGGGCTTTACGGGCCTTAAACGTCAATGCAACGGGGACCGTTTTGGGGAAAGTTTCTCGGCTGGTGGTGGGGCACCTGTGTGCTGATTTTGAACGAAATCGGGGGGGACCCCCCATTGACCCAAAATTTTGATTTTCCCGTACAAACTTTCCTATGGGGGAAAAAGTGAAATTTTCCTGCAAGACTGTGTCTGGGTAAACGAGAACTTTCGATTGATACCCATTTTTACTATAGCACCACTTTTTTGTCCGTACAAAGGTGATTTTACGGATATTTTACGAGTCTAGGGGGCTTTACGGGCCTTAAACGTCAATGCAACGGGGACCGTTTTGGGGAAAGTTTCTCGGCTGGTGGTGGGGCACCTGTGTGCCGATTTTGAACGAAATCGGGGGGGACCCCCCATTGACCCAAAATTTTGATTTTCCCGTACAAACTTTCCTATGGGGAAAAAGTGAAATTTTCCTGCAGGACTGTGTCTGGGTAAACGAGAGCTTTCGATTGATACCCATTTTTACCATAGCCCCACTTTTTTGTCCGTACAAAGGCGATTTTACGGATATTTTACGAGTCTAGGGGGCTTTACGGGCCTTAAACGTCAATGCAACGGGGACCGTTTTGGGGAAAGTTTCTCGGCTGGTGGTGGGGCACCTGTGTGCTGATTTTGAACGAAATCGGGGGGGACCCCCCATTGACCCAAAATTTTGATTTTCCCGTACAAACTTTCCTATGGGGGAAAAAGTGAAATTTTCCTGCAAGACTGTGTCTGGGTAAACGAGAACTTTCGATTGATACCCATTTTTACTATAGCACCACTTTTTTGTCCGTACAAAGGTGATTTTACGGATATTTTACGAGTCTAGGGGGCTTTACGGGCCTTAAACGTCAATGCAACGGGGACCGTTTTGGGGAAAGTTTCTCGGCTGGTGGTGGGGCACCTGTGTGCCGATTTTGAACGAAATCGGGGGGGACCCCCCATTGACCCAAAATTTTTATTTTCCCGTACAAACTTTCCTATGGGGAAAAAGTGAAATTTTCCTGCAGGACTGTGTCTGGGTAAACGAGAGCTTTCGATTGATACCCATTTTCACCTCTTTGTGGCGTCATTTCTAGGGGAAAACGGTACATAAAGGTTTCCCTCTACCGGGGCCTTTTTTCCCCCTACCGAATCTGTGCTGTGCTGAACCTGTGCTGAATCTGTGCCAACTTCCGTTACATACACATCATTCATAATAAAGCATACTAACACGCCGCTTTTGACAATTGCGGCGTCGAGTGGCGCGCTGCTAGCGCTCTTTTTCGATCGCAGAGACCCTGCACGCGCGCGAGCACACTACGTCACGTCCGGGGGGCACAGGTATATGAAAAATCGCAGTGACGTAACACTTTTCTCGCTTCTCATTGGTCAATAGCCCGTTGCCGGGGTAACGTGCACGTATGTGAGCGCGGGCAAGAGTACTAGCCGCAGGGTTGCCAGACTTGGCGATATGTCGCCAATTTGGCGAATTTTGGAAGTCATTGGCGATAGAAGCACGGCGTTTGGCGATAGGCGATAAAACGTCAAATATTGGCGAATTTCCGAGTTCGCCTCCAAATCACCGAATATTACTTAAAAAAATAAACAAAACAAAGCGAAAAACATCGTTACGAAATATTTCGTAATCTGATTAATTTAACCTTCCGACGTTTCATATTAGGCACTAAAATACAGGGGCGCGGGAACTACTTTCCGACTTGGGCACACCATAATAGAGATTAACCTAGGGTACCCCCAAATCTAGTTTTCTCACCGGTTTTAGGCCACTTATTTTTCACCCCTTGGCTTTTTCAACAAAAAAAAGAAAACGTTTGCAAAAAAAGTGTGGTATTCCGTCTCAAAGCTGTGGGGGCACCGCCCCCACGACCCCATTGTTGGGGAGGCAAGCTGCCCCCACTGCCCCCCGGCTCCCGCGCCTATGCTAAAATATAAAATCTTCCTGATGAAAATATCTTCTGAACCACATCTCGCACGACCTTTGCTCAGGGGTGGAGATCTGTCAAAATGTCAGGGGGGGGGGGGGGTCCATGCCGGGCAGATGGAGGCGGGCTGGATGCAGTAGGTACCATTGACTTACATAGCAGTAATTCGTTTTCAGGGGGGGTCCTGACCCCCCCCCCCCCCCCCAAGATCCCCACCTCTGCCTTTGCTATTTTATTTGGCGCTGGTTAAGGTACGCTGTTATTTAGATGAATATGAGAAACGAGATAGGTTCTTGGATAGGTTACACGAACGCCAACTTGCGCTGCTACGTATGCTTATACAGCGCATCCTATTTGGCGAATTTTGGCGAAATTCGAGGGGCGAATTTGGCGATAAGGACCATTCTGGATCTGGCAACCCTGACTAGCCGGCCGCCGATCAGGGCTCATGACAATTTGGCATAAGTTGTCCTTTTCTCTACATGGCGATTATATTTGAACAGTATTTTCAGGTATTTTCGGCACCTTCTACCTTTCATCCATTTTGATTTCAATTCAATTTGAATTGGTTTGAATTGGTTTGGTCGGTGGTGGTGAATATTGAAAGCCATATTAAATGCGCAGGGGGATTATACACGGTTGATGTGCACTGAGGTGGATTAATTTTCGTACAAAATTAATATATACCTGCTACTAACAGAGCGTCAGCAACTATTTCTTGATCAGGTAAGCAATCAGGCCTCAAAGATGAGGTGGAGAGTGAGAGGGATAATTCTGTAGAATCACAATATGAATCAGAATCACTAAATGATCTCTTGCTGGACCACTGCAGTTGTAACTGAAAAGTCAACAAACGCATACCTAGTGTATAGGTAGTTTTTTCCGGTCTCGGTGGATCACATCAGCGTGGTGGTTTGTCTGGGGACTCCAAAGACAAATCGCTGTACGCAGCTTTCTTTGACACCCAATTCTTTGTCCTCAAAACTTTGCACATTTCTTTGTGTCAACTGTCATGTCCTTTGCTCGTATTTCTTTGTTGCACAGATATTCATCATGTTTTTTTTTGTATCCACGTTTGTTTGGCGGCGCATTTCTTCGTTTCACATTTTTTGTCCTCATATTTCTTTGTCTCCTAAAATCTTTGGCAAGTCTTCATCTGAAAATTTTAACCTAGCCTATCCAGTGGCGTATCTAGGATTTCTCTCAGGGGGGGGGGGGGGGGGGTCCGCAGTCAAAAGGGCCCTTGACTGACTGGGTTGAAAGGGCCCTTAACCCTCGCCGGACCTATTGGTTTTCTACATACGCGCCGGCCGAGGGGGGGGGGGCGGGTACGACCCCCCCTCGCCGTTTCGCCCCTGGTGGAGCTAGCGCGTCGAGGAAAAAACGAGCGTGTGCGCCGTTACGAGACGCAGAGATTGGTACCCGATTTTAAGGTCCTAGGTCAACCGGTGACCTATGAGGTCAGGTCAAGTGCCCCAAGGTACGGTTCAGTTTTTGGTGAATAACTTCGCAAAAAACGGCCGCAGAGCGCCGATTTCGGCAGCATCGTGTTCGTCTCGCTCAGGCGCGTCGAATGATATACTTTTTGTCCGGGTCAGGTCAACTTGGGGTGTTGACCTCAGGTCAAGGTCAGGTCAGCACCCCCAGGTCACGAAGTTGGTCGAAAGAGGTCATGTCGCATATCATTCGATTCGGCAGGTCTTCCTGAGTCCATTGGTGGCTTTCTCGACTCGCTAGCTCAATTTGATCAAGAGTTATTGTCGAAAAACTAATATGACCTTGATGACGTCATAAATGACGTCACGCAAGGTCAACATTGCAAAAGTGACGCATCTAACCTTGCAAGGAGTGCATCAAATCACGATTCTGTGTGCTTGAGATAGTTGGAGATCGTTCCCGGCGCCAGAATAGCAGTTTTCATTTTTCCCCATTGACTTATAATGGTGAGGTCACGAAAATGACCTGACCTCATATGACCTTTAGGAAAAATCCGAGATATACAATTTGTGGGACTCATAATGGATACTAGATCCTGCAAGTTTCATTTCCCTGTGACATCTCCTCTGGCAGTGAGGGCGTTGCGAAGTTGCGACATCTGAAGACAGTGCAGAGGTTCACTTATGACGTCATAGGTCAGTGACCTGACCTGACCCAAAAGTGCGGTTGGTGTCAAAAGATCCGGCTTGGATCAAAGGTCAGGTATGCCAAGTTTCAGCTCTCTATCGCCAGCGTGTTCGGAGCTATCGCGAAAAAACCCTATGGGGGGGGGGGGCGGCACCCGCCCCCCCCCCGGCCGGCGGGCAAAAGGGCCCTTGTAGCCTGAGTTGAAAGGGCGTTAACCCGCGCCCCGTAGGGAGGGGGGGGGGGGGCGAAATGGCCCCCTGTCCTCTTCCGTAGCTATCTCCTAAATGACTGCAAATATCGCCACCAAACTTTCAGGACCTCTCTGGGCATCCATTTTACACATTGTGACCAATTTTTTTCCAGAGGCTATGATAGGTTGGCCGCAAATGACGTCGGAATGACGTCATGTTCTGCCATTTTCGACAAAAAAAGGTTTCGCAAGAAGAGCCACAGGCCTACAGAGCTGTAGAAGCATAAAAATGTTCCGACTTAAAAGGTGTAGAATTGACAGGCCTAGATCAAATCTGAGCACAGTTTACAGAAAGAGCATTAAAAGAGCTTTGATTGTTTTGTTGGGTTGGGCCCAGGCCCTTTCGGTCTGACGAGTCCATTTCAGAGCCCTGTTCGATCGCTGTTTTTATATCAGCGTGCTGTCGGTTTTCCCCATATAAGGAAGCTATTGCTGGCGCTTCTTGGCCTCTCATTGGTCTAACGAATAGACCACTTGAATTCGACCAATGAGCCAAGAAGTAGCAGTATGCTCGCAGCCTGCTGATAAATAAACGGGGTGCGAACAGAGCTCAGGGCCGGAAGGATGGTAGGAAAGGAATTGAGGGAGACATTGGTCTGGGCGGGCACCTTGGTGAGTCACCGGGGCTGAGCCTGTCCAACAGGACAGGCCGATCAGCCCCCCAAGTGCTCACTGCACCCGGTTACGAGCGTGCTTGATTAGGAGCTGCACTGCGCTCCAATGGGAGCCGCCCGCATGGAATAAAGTTGCCCGTCCAGGTCCAGCCCGGATCAGGGTTTGCGGCATGGATGAGAAGGATTTGAATGTCATGAGGATGGAACCGGCGAAACGGGTGTTGAAGAGCTATTAACTACGCTTTTCTGCGGCACTGTAGCTCCACATTTCCGAGTCATGCGATGGTTTGTTGAAAATTGTCGAAATTGGATCTGAAAATTGGCGAAATTTGCCCTTGATGACCTATGTGAACTGACTTTTGACCTGATCTAAAAAGTGACCAGAGTAATTTCGTCATTATTGTTTGCGTCCCTTCAGACGCTGCCTTTGGCGTGTCGTGGCTCAGAAGCCGAGTTAGAAGCAGGGGTGCGTGGTGAGTCGCGGAGCTGGAGCTGCAGAGCCGCCGGAGCAGGCATATTTTGCCCGGAGCCGGAGCCGTGAAAGAATTTAGCCCGGAGCCGGAGCCGGAGCCGGAGCATTCAAAAAAGGCGGCGACTCCGGCTACTTTTTTTTTGAAGAGGAAACAATTATTGACCTAGTTCGGTTTGACAGTACAAGGCAGTAAAACATGTGACATTCAAAACAGCCTTGCTATGCAAATACAGAAGCAACGTGAACCAATCCTTCATCTTTTCTCTTCCACCCGTATTTAACTGTATAGAGGATTACTGAATACTGGATCCGGAGCCGGAGCCGGATCCAATTTTTTTCTCCGGAGCCGGAGTCGTCTGAAATTTCCACGGCTCTACATCCCTGGTTAGAAGGACCCTGGCCAGCCGAGGGGGGCCGGGGGCGTGGGTGCCACCACATTGTGTTTTTTTTTCGACAGTTCGGAACACGTCGGCAACAGAGAGCCAAAACTGGGCATAGCTACCTAACCTTTGATGCAAACCGGGCCTTGTGACACCTGCATTTTCACGGGGGGCCTCTGGTCGTCTTAAGGACTCTCTGTTACCCTCAGAGGGAACCTCTGATGGCCTCTGAAGACCATCACTGGCCTCAAAGGGCCCTCTAGTGGCCCCCATGGTCCTTCTGAGTACCCAGAAGGGCCCTCTGTTTTCTCTCCAGGGACCCTTTTTACCTCAAAAGGTCCTCTTTTACTTCAGATGGCCGTATGTTGGTCTAATACATGAGACCCCTGGTGGCCTAAAAAAGCCCTCATATCATCTAAGGGGACCCCTGTTTGCCTTAGAAAAGAGGTCCCTCCGGGTGCCTGAGAGGCCGTTTGTGTCCCAAAGACCCAAAGGGCCCATTGTTCAGGCCTCATAATGTCCCTAGTTGGCCTAAAAAGTCCTCTGGGCCCTCTGTTCGCCTCATAGGGCCAGCTTTTTCCTCAGAGTGCCTGATGACCTCATAGAGCCCATAGTGGCCTGACATAGCCTTCATATCACCTCAGAGGGCCCTCTGTTGTAAGGCTCGAGTGGCCTTCTCAGAGGGCTCCGACTGCGCTGTGACTGACAATTGTTCACTCTTATCCCCCTTTTGGGTGACCTATTTCCCCCTCTGACACCCAAGCCAAAATACAATTTTGGGACACTGACTCCGAGGGCCAGTTGATTTTCAGAGGGCCCTCTTTGAGGTGGATGTGAGGGCCCTCTGTTCGCCTCAGGGGGGTCCTCTGGTGGCTTCAAACTTCAGAGGACCCTATTTTGGCATCAGAGGGCGCCTCTCTGTGGCATCAGAGGGCCCTCGGATGCCTCAAATGGCCCTATTACATCTCAGAGAGCTGTCTTTGACCTCAGAGGGATCTTTTTTACTTCTTTATGGTGTCTAAGGGGCCCTCTGGCCTTTGTTTGCCTCAAGGGGCCTCAAGGGGTCCTCCGATGACTTCCAAGGACCCTCTTTGATCTCAGAGGGCCTGATGACCTCATAGGGCTCATGATGGTCTGACATAGCCTCATAGCACCTCAGAAGGCCCTCCAGTGGCCTCAGAGGGCACTTTGTGGCATTTGAAGACCCTCCATTCGCCTTAGAGGACCCTCTTTGATCTCTTTGATCTCTTCGACCTCAGAGGGCCCTCTTTGAGGCGGCTGAGAGGGCCCTTTGTTCACCTCAGAGGGCCCTCCGGTGACCTCCAGGGACTATCTTTGATATAAGAGGGCCGTCTGGTGGCCTCATGGCTCATAGGACACCTTGTGGCCTGAAATTGACCTTGGTACCTCAGAGGGCCTTCTGTTAGTCTTAACCCATTTACGCCCTTCGTTGCGTTTTCGCAACGCAAGTAAGCGTCGACGTGATCGAAGCTTGAGAAGTGTGTAATGGAGGCTAACCGATGAGACAAGTTTCAGTGTGTGTAACATGGTTGTGCGCATGATGCTACGCAGTTACAAGTCTGTGCGGTCGGTAAGTCACTGCCTAGAGCTCCCTGAGGGAAGTCGAAGGTCTTGTGAGTGATGACGTCACGAAAAACAACACAAATAGGCTAAGTGCTCAATGATATCGTAATGAAGATTGTGTAAACATATTCTGCAGAGTCCCTACAATAGGTTAGATATGCATTTTGTTAAGAAATCATGCTGCAAAAAGGGTTTGTGACTATTTTCAAACATGACTACGGTGGCGTTGCGGAAACGCAACGAAGGGCACATCGGAAAGACAGCGATGTTGCGAAAACGCAACGAGGGGCACATTGGTAGGG